GCTGGGTCGCCACAGCAACCCAGTGCTGACTGAAGGACTTCCAGGTTGATCATCCTTTGGTTGTTATGACCCTGGGCTTTTACATATTAGGATATTTAAAAGGTTAAATTGACTCACGCATGGACGACACAAAAAAAAGCTCTTGCTGGTGTCAATCGAACACATGTGTTTCGATCTGTCATTATTGATCGTGAATTTGGTTGACACTTCTATTATAGCGAAAGGGAAGATAATGATATTAAAATATTTCTTCTGATTAATTTCCTTTCAATGTACATGAATTTGTGCACTGGGCCACTAGTGTTGAATAAGAGTGGTGAAGTGTACATCTATGTCTTGTTCCTGTTCTTAAGGGAAAAGCTTTTAGTTTTTGCCCATTGAGAATTATGTTGGCTGTAGGTTTTTCATAAATGGTCTTTATTATCTTGAGGTATGATCCCTCTATTCTCACTTTACTGAGGATTTTTATTTTTAAAAAAGAGTGCTAGATTTTGTCAAATGCTTTTTCTGCATCTATTGATATGATCATGTGGTTTTTATCTTTCAATTTGTTTATGTGATGTATAACATTTATTGATTTATGAATATTGTATTGGCCTTGCATCCCTGGAACAAATCCCACTTGATCATGGTGTATGACCTTTTTAATATATTGCTGGATCTGATTTGCTAATATTTTGTTAGGATTTTAGAATCTGTGTTCATCAGGGATATTGGCCTGTAATTCTCTTTCTTAGTAGTGTCTTTATCTAGTTTTGAAATTAGGATAATTCTGGCTTTGTAAAAGGACCTTAAATATTTGGTAAAATTCACCTGTAAATCCATCCCATTCAGGACTTTTGTTTGCTGGAGGTTTTTTCATTACTGCTTCTATAACGTCAGTTGCTACTGGCCTCCTCAGGTTTTCTGATTCTTCCTGATTGAGTTTTGGATGATTGTATGTTTTTAGGAATTTTTCCATTTCACCAATGTTTTCCAGTTTTGGGCATATAGTTGTTCATAGTATTTTCTTACAATCCTTTGAATTTCTGTAGTGTCAGTTGTTACTTCACTGATTTCATTTCTCATTTTATTTATTTAGGTCCTCTTTGTTTCTTGATGAGTCAACCTAGAGGCTCATTAATCTTGTTTGTCTTTCCAAAGAACCAGCTCTTGGATTTATTGATCTTTAATAATTTTTTTGTCTCTATGTCATTTATTTCTGCTCTGATTTTTATTCTTTCTCTTTTTTTTCTACTTCCTATGGGCTATTCTTGCTGTTCTCTTTTTAATTCATTTAGTTGTAAGGTAGATAGTTTATTAGTCCTTTATCTTGTTTCTTGAAGTAGGGCTGTAATGCTATGAACTTCCCTCTCAGGACTGCTTTTGGCATGTCCCATAGGTTTTAGGTGGTTGTGTGTTCATTTTCCTTTGTTTCCAGGAAGTTTTTAATTTTTTGCTTGATCTCATTGGTAACCCATTTGTTGTGTAATAACATGCCATTTAGTCTCCATGTATTTGAGTGTTTTTCAGTTTTTTTAAAATTGTAGTTGATTTATCAATCTTCTCATATCAATCTTCTTGAATCTGTATAATCTTATTTTGTGCCCTAATGTGTGGTCTATCTTTGATAATGCTCTATGTGTGTTTGAGAAGAAAATATATTCTGTTGCTTTAGGATGAAACGTTCTGTACATGTTGGATAGATCTACCTGATCTAGTGTGTCATTTAAGGCTTCTATTTCCTTGTTAATTTTTAGTCTGGAAGATCTATAAAGTGATGTAAGTGGGGTGTTAAAGTCCCCCACTATGACTATATTACTGTCAATCTATCCCTTGAAGTCCATTAAGTGTTTTTTAATGTATATGGGTGCTCCTATATTGGGTGAATATATGTTTAGAAGTGTTATATTTTCTTGTTGTATCATTCCCTTTAGTATTATGATGTGGCCTTCTTTATCTATTATTATGGCCTTTGTTTTGAAGTCTATTTTGTCTGATATGAGTATTGCTACTCCAGCTTTATTTCCCTTTCCATTTGCATGGAATATATTTTTCCATCCTTTCACTCTTAATCTGTGTGTATCTTGTGTTCTGAGGTGGGTCTCTTGTAGACAGCGTATATATATGGATCATGTTTTCTTATCCATTCAGTCACTCTATGTCTTTTGACTGGAGCATTTAATCCACTTACACTTAAGGTTATTATTGATAGGCATTTATTTCTTGCCATTTTTTATTTTCTTTATGCCTATGATCCTCTCTCTATCTCTTCTCTCTCTCTATCTTTCTTCTTCTTCTCCTTCTTCTTCTTCTTTACTTCTTCAAGCAGTCTCTTTAACATTTCTTACATTGCTGGTTTGGTGGTAAATTGCTCCTTTAATTTTTTTTTTTTTTTTTTGCCTGGAAAGCTTTTTATTTCACTTTCAATTTTAAATGATAGGCCTTTTCTTTTCATTACTTTAAGTACTTCATTCCACTCTGTTCTGGCCTGAAATGTTTTTCTTGAGAAGTCAGTTGACATTCTAATGGGAACTCCTTTGTTTGTAATTCTCTCTCTCTTGCTACCTTTAAGATTCTTTCTTTGTCTTTAACTTTTTTTTTCACAAGTAATGCTTTAATGGCTCAGCTTTCTATAGTCTTCAAAACAGACACGGACAAATCCACGGTGTCCTCTAAAACAACTGAAGCCAACACCCTGGGAGACACTGCTCTGCTTCTCTTCTGTCAGATGTTTTTATGGTGATGGTTACCCCAGCTGGTCAGCACCTCCGTGCCTGGCACAGGCAAGGCCCGGGGTCCCCTGGGGACTCCAGCGGACTCCTCACATGTTAGTCACACACGTATGGTAGGACACCAGCTGCCTCTGGGGAGAGGAGCGTGGGGAGACAAATACTGATGCATCTGATGCATGTATGTGTCACCAGAAAATACAATTACAAACATCACACTGAACTGTAACAACACTTATGAAACATCATCATAAATCTGAACGGGAGACACTTTGATTTTTAAAATCAGAGGCTACTGTCGGCCCGCGTGGCTCAGTGTGACCCATGAACCAACAGGTCACAGTTCAATTCCTAGTGGAACATGCCTGGGTTTAGGGCTTGATCCCCAGTGTGGGACATGCAGGAGGCAGCTGATCAATGATTCTCTTTCTCATCGATGTTGCTATCTCTCTGTCCCTCTCCCTACCTCTCTCTCTAAAAAATAAATAAAAACATATTCAAAACAAATACAATCAGAGGCTGTGTGAAAGCACAGATTGAATTTAGTTCATTTTACAAAAAGAACAGAGCTCCTAATATGAACCAGAGTCTGGCAACACTGGAGTCCTGTAAAACACTGCCTGGAGGGGCAAGAGCATTTGAAAATCAATCTAGAAAGTCCCAAATGGGTAGCCAGGCTACTTGTTATGCAACAAGTTAGAATGAGGCTAGAGACCTGGCTGGGGAAAGCATCCTCAGCTCTCTGCATGCCCCTCTGCAACCTCTCTAGTGAAAGGCCCCTCTCTTGATGCCTCACAGCAAAAAAGCTAGAGCGTGAGTCTTAGAATCAGCTTAACGACACTGTAACCCCTGGACTGCTTTGCCACTTCAGATCCTTTCTCAGTCCTCTGTGAGGGCCTCCTGGGCTCAGGGTCCACCCAGCACTCACAGTCAGTCCCTCCTTCCCCTTAACAGGAGGAGTCAAGAACAAGACCTGTTCTCTGTGAGAAAGATCAGAGATCTGTTCTGCAGGAAACTGTTACCAGAATATAAAACTAAACAGTTTTAGAAATGAACCAGTCAATGCAAAATGTCACGAGAGGTTAAATGCCTCCAGTTTCAACACACGAAAAATATAAAAGTCATTCTAATCTGAATCTACCTATAAAAGCCTTACCAAAACTTTAAAATATAAGCATAAGGAATGTTTCTCTTCATCACAGTTACCAAATAGCTAGAGGGCCGTTACTAAATATAAAAAAGTCACCAATCCTCTGAGGCCCAGGACTTGGAGAGATGGCCTCGCGCTCCCTCTGAAAGCCTCCTGGCCCAGCTGAGGGCAACGCCAGGGCTGAAGCATCACCCTGCGCTGCCGCTAAGTGTGGGCTGGGACAAGTTGCTGCACGTCCCAGACCCCAGCGCCTCCATCAGTAGCACTTTCTCAACATGTGAGCCAAAGAATACTCATCTCTGGAACACGGATCTGTGGTCAAATGAAGTCGGAAACTGCTACACGATTTCTCCCGAGTCACCGTGGGCATTAACGCCTTTAAAGGCCCTGAGCAGTCCTGCTGCACTAGGTGTCCATCTGAGTAGACCTGAGAATCCCCTTCCTGAGTAGCACTGATCAGCACATGGACGCGCTGGGAACACAGGCCGGCCTCCCAGCACCTGCGCCCGCACCATTTGGGAGAGCCCTGCAGCCTCCCGACACGCGGTGCCCTGGTTCCGACAGGCACTGACCCAGGCTCGCTGGCCCCTGAAGGCCAACCTAGTCCCCCTGTTCCAAGTGGAAATCTTCACTGGAGGGAAGCGGCGATGGCAGGCCCAAGACGTGGGCATAGCAGGATAAACAACAGACTGGCGGTGAGGTAATGTCCTTTTCCATGCGCTTGGGTCTTCTGCCACCATCCCTTCTGCTACTGCACATGTCCTGGTCCTGGGTGACATGCAGGGGCAGGGGCGGAGGCAAAAGCGGACCTAGGGGTGGGGGCAGGAGGTGAGGGCAGACCCAGGGCGAGAGGGGGGGGGGCAGGGCCAGGGCCAGGGCAGGGGGCAGTGGCAGGGCAGGGGCAGGGCCAGGGCACTCAGGCCGCTGCCCCTGCCCCAGGTTAAAGAGCTGCTCCTCCAGGAAGGCGTCCCCCTGCCCCCAGGCTGTACTGCTCTTGGTGAAGACGCATTTCTTCGGGCTACAAGTGGCTTCCTCCAAGGATGAAGTCTGCAAGCCTGAGGGCTCTCTCCGGGTAGTGCAGCCCTCGGGCAGCTGCATGAGGCCCACAGCACCCCACACGACCTGGGGCACGGGGCGCCTCACTGGATCCACAGCGTCCACGCCAGGAGGCGCTGGCTCCTCTCCTTGGCCAGAGGCCCATGTCTGTAACAGGCAGCAAAGCTGAGGGACCCAACTGTCAAGAGGAAGCCTACAACATACATCCTGTGCTCACACCACAGCCACAGCAGGTTCTCCATCCACTGGCACACCACACACACTGAAGCAAACCAACAACTAACCATTACAGCCCCAAAGGTGCTATACTTAGGGATGCACCTTCTCGCCAGCAGCAGGAGGAAGACCGGTGTTGTCAGGTCTCCCAGCGCCGTCACCAGGCAGTAATAAAAAATGGGGCTTTGGTCAGTCCCAGCAACAACAACAACAACAAAATCACAGACATTCCAAAAAACTGGGATAGTAAGCCAGCCAAAGGAATGACATTTCTATTTTTCATTTTTATTTTTTTATTATTATTTTGTTAGCTTTTTTTTTTTTTTAGCTTTTTGCTTATTTCTTTGTTTTCCCTTTTTTTTGTTTGTTGCTTCTTTTTTTTTTTTTTTTTTTTTTGCTTCTTTCTTTGGTCTCCTTTTTTTTTTGTTTGTTCCTTTATTTCCTACTTCCCTTCACATTATTTTTTTCAACCACATGAGCAGCAGACACGTAAGCGGCGTGCTCTTGTCCAGGGAGCATCAGCCCCGTGAGCAGCCTGCCTTGAGCCTAAGAGCAGCAGCCTCATGTGGCCTGCCCCTGTCCAAGGAGCAGTAGCTGAGTGAGCAGCCCACTTCCCCGTCCGAAGAGCAGCAACCACGCAAGCAGTCCAACCTTTCTGAGGAGCAGCAGCCACACGAGCAGTCTTCTTACGTCTGAGAAGTGGCAGCCCTGCGCAGCCTGCCCCCATCTGAGGAGCAGCAGCTGCACACAGCCCACACCCTGCACAAGTCCGAGGAGCAGCAGCTGCACAAGCATCTTGCCCTCTCCCAAGCAGCAGCAGCTGCATGAGCAGCCTGCCCAATCCGAGGAACAGCAGCTGTCTGAACAGCCCGCCCCCTTCCAGGGAGCAGCAGTTCTGTTAGCAGCCCGGCCCCATTCAAGGAACAGCAGCAGCCCACCCTGGTCCAAGGAGTAGCAGCCATACAAGCAGACCGCCCACTTCCGAGGAGTGGCAGCCCTACGCAGTACGCACCAGTCCGAGGAGCAGAGCCACAACAGCCTGCACCTGTCCGACGAGCAGCAGCCGGTCCTAGCAGCAGTAGCCCCACAAGCAGCCCACCACATCAGAGGAACAACAGCAGCGTGCAGCCAGCCCCAATTCAAGGATCAGCAGCCATGTGAGCAGTCCGCGCCAGTTCAAGGAGTAGCAGCTGCGTGTGTAGCCCGCCCCCATCCAAGGAACAGAAGATACATGATCAACACATCCTCTGTGTGAGGAACTTCAGCTGTATGTGAAGCCTCCCCCCACCATCCAGAGAACCCACCACAGCTGTGAACAACACCCACCAGAGGAGCTGCTGCCAACTGAGGAGCAGCTGCTACCACAACTGCCCGAGGAGCAACCACAGCCCAAGGAGCCACTGCCACATCAAGGAGCAGCCCCTGAACAACTCAATATCTAGATATGTCAGTAAGATCAAACATGGGTAAACAAAGAAACCCTCAGATGAAAGAAAAGGAGGACTCACCAGAAAAGCAGCTAAGTGAAGCAGAGGCATGGAACATGACAGAAAAAGAATTCAGATTAAGGCTCCTAGAATGCATAAACTGGATGAAGGAAAACAACTTATGCAAGAATCAAGAAGAAATGGATGAAAAAAATCAATAAACTATGTAAGAACCAAGAAGAAATGAAGAGTGATATAGCTGCAATAAAAAAACCATTGAAAGTTTCAACAGTAGACTAAAAGAAGCAGAGGACCTTATTAGTGAATTAGAAGACAGGAAAGCAAAACACACCCAAACTGAACTGCAATTGGAGAAAAGATTAAAAGACAGGAGAAAAGCCTAAGAGAGCTATGGGGCATCATTACATGAAGCAACATACAAATAATAGGGGTGCCAGAACAACAGGAAGAATAACAGGATTAAAAAACCTATTTGAAGAAATAATGTCAGAAAACTTCCCTGATGTGGGGAAGAAAAAAGTCACACAAGCAAAGAGAGTCCCAAACAAGATGAACCCGAAAAGACCCACACCAAGACACAACATAATTACCATGGCAAATGTTCAGGACAAAGAGAGAATCTTAAAGGCAGCAAGAGAGAGACAGAAAGTTACATACCAGGGATCTCTCATTAGATTATCAAATGATTTCTCAACAGGAACACATCCGGCCAGAAAAGAATAAAAGGAAATTTACAATGTGATGCAAAGCAAGGGACTTAATCCAAGAAAACTCTATCCAGCAAGGCTATCATTCAAAATTGAAGGGGAAATAAGAAGCTTTACAGAAAAAAAAAAAAAAAAGAGACTGAGGGAGTTTATCACAACCAAGACAGCAATGCAAGAAATGCTGAAGGGACTGGTGTAAAAAGAAGAAATAAAAAGCTCAGAAAGAAAACAGCCACAAAAAAATAGAAATGGCTACAAACAAGTACCTTTCAATAATAACTTTAAACATAAATGGACTAAATGCTCCAATCAAAAGACATCGAGTGGCTGAATGGATTAAAAAAAAAACATGTCCCATACATTTGCTGTCTACAAGAGACCCACCTCAGAAGAAGGGACTCACACAGACTGAAAGTGAAGGGATGGAAAAATATCTTTCAGGCTAATGGAAATGAAAAAAAATCAGGGGTAGCAATATTTATATCTGACAAAATAGACCTCAAAGTGAAGGCCATAACAAGAGATAAGGAAGGCCATGTCATAATACTAAAGGGATCAATACAACAAAAGGATATAACTCTGATAAACATATTTGCACCCAATGCATGAGCACCCAAATACATAAAAAAACTCCCAGAAGATATCAGGGAGAGATCAACAACAATACAATCATAGTAGGTGACTTTAATACACCACTGACATAACTGGATAAATCCTCTCAACAAAAAATCATCAAAGAAACAGCAATCCTAAATGACTCACTAGATAAGATTGACGTAATTGACATCTTCAGAACATTTCACCCCAAAACCACGGAATATACGTTCTTCTCAAGTGCTCATGGGACATCTTCAAAAATAGACCACATATTGGGTCACAAACAAAGTCTCCCCAAATTCAAGAAGATTGAAAACATACCAAGCATCTTCTCAGACCACAAGGGCATAATATTAGAAATAAACTACAATAAAAACAACTCAAATATTCAAACACTTCGAAGCTGAATAGCATGTTATTAAATATTGATTGCGTTATCAAAGAGATCAAAGAAGAAATTAAAAACATCCTGGAAATTAATGACAATGAAAACACAACAACCCAAAACCTATGGGATGCAATGAAAGCAGTCCTGAGAGGGAAGTTTCTAGCTCTACAGGCCTATCTCAAAAAAAAAAAAAAAAAAAAAAAAAAAACAAGAAGAAATGGTACTAACTCATCTAACTCTACATCTCAAAGAATTAGAAAGAGAGCAACAAGAAAAGCCCAGAGTGAGCAGAAGGAAGGAGATAATAAAGATTAGAGCATAAATAAATGGCATAAAGACCAAGAAAACAATAGAGAAAATCAATGAAAACAAGAGCTGGTTCTTTGAAAGGATAAACAAGATTGATGAACCTCTAGCCAGGCTCACCAATAAGCAAAGAGAGAGGAACCAAATAAACAAAATCAGAAATGATAGAGGCAAAATAACAACAGACCCCACAGAAATACACAAGATTGTGTATTTCACAACCTGAAGGAAATGGACATATTCCTAGAAAAATAAAACCTTCCAAAACTCAATCAGGAAGAATCTAAAAACCTCAATAAGCCAATAAATATGGAAGAAATTGAAGCAGTCATCAACAAGCTTCCAGCTAACAAAAGCCCAGGGCCAGACGGCTTCACAGGGGACTTTTACTAAACATTCAAGAAAGAACTAAAACCTATCATGCTCATACTACCACAAAACATTCAAGAGGAAGGAACACTTCCAAGCACATTCTATGATGCCAGCATCACCCTAATACCAAAAGCAGGTAAAGACAACAAAATGAAAGAGAATTACAGACCAATATCCCTCATGAAAATAGATGCCAAAATCCTCAACAAAATCTTAGCAAATAGGATCCAACTGTACATCAAAAAGAACATACACCATGACCAAGTAGGATTTATCCCAGGGATGCAAGGATGGTATAATATCCGCAAATCAATAAACGTGATACATCACATAAACAAATTGAAAGAAAAAAACCACATAGTCATATCAATTGATGCAGAAAAAGTGTTTGACAAAATCCAACACCCATTTTTGATAAAAACTCTCAGCAAGGTGGGAACAGAAGGATCATACCTCAACATAATAAAAGTCATATATGACAAACCCACAGCCAACATCATACTCAATGGACAAAAACTAACACCGTTTCCCCTAAGAACAGGAACAGGACAGGGATGCCCACTCTCACCACTCCTGTTCGACATAGTACTGGAAGTATTAGCCATTGCAATTAGACAAGAAAAAGAAATAAAAGGCATCCAAATTGGAAAAGAAGAAGTAAAACTGTCCTTATTTGCAGATGACATGATATTATATATAAAAAACCCTAAAGACTCCATCAAAAAACTGTTAGACTTAATAAATGAATTCGGCAATGTAGCAGGATACAAAATTAATGCCAAGAAATCTGTGACATTTCTATACACCAATAATGAACTTATAGAAAAAGAGACTAAAAAATCAATCCCATTTACCATTGCACCAAAAAAATTAAACTACCTAGGAATAAACTTAACTAAAGAGGTAAAAGACCTCTACTCAGAAAACTAAAGGATGTTGAAAAAAAGAGATAGAGGAAGACATAAACAGATGGAAGAACATACCATGTTCTTGGATTAGTAGAATCAACATCATTAAAATGTCCATACTACCCAAAGCAATCTATAGATTCAATGAAATCCCCATTAAAATACCAACGGCATGTTTCACAAACGTAAAAAGAACTCTCCAAAAATTCATCTGGAATAAAAAAGACCCCGAATAGCTGCAGTGATACTGAGAAAGAACAAAGTAGGTGGGATCTCAATACCAGATATCAAGCTGTATTACAAAGCCACTGTTCTCAAAACTGCCTTGTACTGGCACAAGAACAGACATAGATCAATTGAATAGAATAGAGAGCCTAGAAATCGGCCCCAACCAATATGCTCAATTAATGTTTGACAAAGGAGGCAAGAACATAATACAATGGAATCAAGATAGTCTCTTCAATTAATGGTGTTGGGAAAATTGGACAGATACATGCAAAAAAATGAAACTAGACCACCAACTTACACCATACACAAAAATAAATTCAAAATGGATAAAGGACTTAAATGTATGATGGGAAGCCATAAAAATACTAGAAGAATCCAAAGGCAACAAAATCTCAGACATATGCCGAAGCAATTTCTTCACTGATACAGCTCCTAGGGCATTGGAACTAAAGAGAAAATAAACAAATGAGACTACATCAAAATAAAAAGCTTCTGCACAGCACAAGAAACCATCAACAAAACAATAAGAAAGCCCACTGCGTGGGAAAACATATTTTCCAATGTTATCATGGATAAGGGTTTAATCTCCAACATTTATAGGGAACTTAGCACAAGGAAGATAAACAATCCAATCAAAAAAATGGGCAAAGGGCCTACATAGACACCTTTCAAAAGAGGACATTCAGAAAGCCAAGAGACATATGAAAACATGCTCAAAGTCACTAATCATCGAAGAGATGCAAATCAAAACAATGAGGTACCATCTCACACCTGTTAGAATGGCTATCATCAACATATCCACAAACGACAAGTGCTGGAGAGGATGTGGAGAAAAAGGAACACTCATGCACTGCTGGTAGGAATGCAGACTGGTGCAGCCACTGTCGAAGACAGTACGGAGTTTCCTCAAAAAACTGAAAATGGAACTCCCATTTCACCCCGTGATCCCACTTCTAGGAATATATCCCAACAAAACAGAAACACCAATCAGAAAGGATATATGCATCCCTGTGTTCATAGCAGCACAATTCACCATAGCTAAAATCTGGAAACAGCCTAAGTGCCCATCGGTAGATGAATGGATTCGAAAACTGTGGTACATCTACACGATGGAATACTATGCTGCTGTAAAAAAGAAGGAATTCTTACCATTTGCAACAGCATGGATGGAACTGGAGAGCCTTATGCTAAGTGAAATAAGCCAGTCAATGAAGGAAAAATACCACATGATCTCACTCATTTATGGATAATAAAGACCATTATTAACTTATGAACAAAAATATATACAGAGGCAGAACTGCCTCGAACAGACTGTCAAACTACAGCGGGAAGGCTGGGAGGGTTGGAGAGCTGGAGGGGGATGGTAATAGGTAAACTGAAGGACTTGTATGCATGCATATAAGCATAACCAATGGACATAAGACACTGTGGGGTAGGGGAAGCCAGGAGATTGTCAAGGGCAGGGGGAAAAAAGGAGACATATATAATACTCTTTGCAATACTTTAAGCAATAAATAATAATAAAATAATAAAAAAGAAAACGGGGCTTTGAATCAAGCGCTCTGCATGACTGAAGAGGACTATGCTGGCCACAAACAGAAGGATGAGCCTGAAATCCACAACGCTGTGAGTTGAGTTACGTGTACTGTATGCCTTCTGGCCGATTTCACAAAGAAGCACACAGTCTCCCCATGTGGACAGATGTTCGTGGCTATTTCACGAGACTCACTCGGGGTCCAGAATGTGTGGATTGCACACTTGATAACAGAAAGAGTGGTTTCTGGGTGCTGGCAAATGTGTCTTTCTGTGATATACGCAATACTGGGCAGATCTGCACTGGTGATCTTTACCTGCACAGTTGACCATACGTATTTCCACTCAATTTGGGGTTTTTGATGGTAACAGTAACAGTCTGACTCAGAAGTTTTAATTAAATCCATTTCCTTCAAAGCGTTGCACCTTGGAACTGCCAGTGATGCCCCGAGCGCCACCTGATGGCCACCTGTTGAGGGATGTTTAATGAACCGAAGATGCAGAGGTAAGACGAGCACACAGGCGATTGATTGCCGGACAGAGGGCTACAGCTCACTCAGGCATGTAACAACTCTGTACCCTCAACCGTTGCTTTTATTGGGGTTTGGCACGAAGTTAGTGCATCAGCAGTTAATCAACAAAATTTTGTTTTGGTCTATATTACAATAGCGCATTGTAGACAACTTGCAGCTGTGCACTCCCTTTCTGCTCTACCCACAACTATTTAATCTTATCCTTTCTCAGGGAGGTAAATGTTCCGGGAACTCAAGATTGTGTGCAATCTTGACCCAGTGTGACTCACTTGCAAGTCACACGGTGAACATTCACTTCTTCTTGGCAGGACTTCAGATCCTTGTTTACAAATGTCCAGCTACAACCACCCTCTGGGGCAGGGCCATCCAGCATGTGGGAACAGCGGACCTCTCTGACCGGGGATGGGTGGTGCTGAGGGGTGGGGTTGGCTGTAGGCAGCTTGGGAAGATGGGCCTGATCGCAGGCCAGGCCTAGGGACCATACCTGTGCACAAATTTCATGTGCTGGGCTTCTAGTCAATAATAACTTTAAATCTAAATGGCTTTAATGCTCCAATAAAAAGACATAGGGGAGCTGAAAGGATAAGAAAACATGACCCATATATATACTGTCCACAAGAAACCCACCTCAGAACAAAGGACTCACACGGACTGAAAGTGAAGGGATGGAAAAAATTCTTCAGGCAAACGGAAATGAAAAAAAGCTGGGGTAGCAATACTTCTATCTGACAGAATAGTCCTCAAAGTGAAGGCCATAATAAGAGATAATGATGGCCACTTCATAATACTAAAAGGATCAGTACAACAAGAGGATATAACTCTGGTAAACATATATGCTCCCCATGCAGGAGCACCCAAATACATAAAAATAACTCCTGGAAAATATCAAGGGAGAGAGCAACAACAATACAATCATAGTAGGGGACTTTAATACCCCATTGATATCACTGGACAAAAGTTCTAGACAAAAATCAACAAGGAAACAGCAATCCTAAATGACTCACTAGATCAGATGGAACTAACTGACATCTTCAGAATATTTCACCCCAAAGCTACAGAATATACATTCTTCTCAAGTGCACAAGGGACATTTTTAAAGATAGACCCCATTTTAGGAAACGGGTTAAGTCTCTACAAATTCAAGAAGATTGAAATCATATCAAACATCTTCTCAGGTCACAATAGCATAAAATTAGAAATCAAGTACAATAAAAACACTCAAAAACAAGCAAACACTACTTTGGAAACTTTTGTCCACAAAAATTGAACATGGGAAAAGCCCATGGCCTGGAAATTTTGACCCTAAGCATTTATCTAATGGTACTTTATAGATATACACACACAATTTTGTGTACAAGAAGGTTAATTGCAGTGCTATTTATAGTAGTCAAATATTGGAAGCAACCCAAAAGTCTGTCACCTGTAGAATGGGCAAATAAATTGTGGTGTACTCATACAATGAAATACTATACAGCAATGACAGTGAACATACCTGCTACATGCAATGACATAAGCATACTCCACAAACACAATGTTGAGCAAAAGAAACCAGATACAAAACAGTATAGTTTGTATAACTCCAGTTATATTGTCCAACTGCAGAGAAAATTCATTAATAGGATAAAACCAGGATTATGGTTATCTTTGGGACAAAGGTATATAATGAGTAGAAGTGGGCATGAAGGAGATGCTGAAATGTAATATGTCTTGATCTAGGATTCTGGTAATACCCTATTTCTTCATTCAAAGATGCTTTCATTTCATGAAAATTCATGGAGCTATACACTTAAGATTATGTGATTTTCTGTATAAATAAAAATGTTATTTTTTAAAATGTTGATTTTTCCATGAGACTTTTTTTAGCCACTTCATCTAAAGTTACAACCTCCCTCCTTACTCTCTCTCTCTTCCTTCCCTGCTAGGTTGTTTATTTTAACATACCACCTTCACATATATTCGGTTTCCTCCAGTAGGAGACTCAGACAAAGATTTCAGTGTGAGCAGTTTTTCTGGGAGCTGATACAAAGAAACCTAGTTAGAAGGGTGTAAAAGCGGAACAGGGGACTGAAAGGAGCAACCAGAGATAGGAAATTAAGGAAATGTTATATCATAGAAATAGAGAGGAAAAGAGTAATTCCCAGGTATAGTATTGCACAAGTCAAAATCTAACTTTCAAACAGATCTGTGGACCCAGAGGATTGGGAAAATCAACTATGCCATTCAAGATTGCTGATAAGAGTAAAGGAGGTGGAAAAGAAGCAATAGAAGGAAAATAGCAACTGAAAAGACAGAAACATGTTACAATCTTATCTAATAAAAGAAAAACACGCAAATTGACCATACCTCCCCTACACTCGCAAGCCATGCCCACAAGCCACACCCACCAGCCCATCAGGAGCAAGTATGAAAATAAACCCAACCAAGATAGTGGCAGTCACAGAGCTGGAGCAAACAGGAGGCTTAGGTTGCCCCTGGCGATGGAGGAAGCCAAGCTTCCCACCTGCCCTGGCCAGCTGTGGGCTCTGCTCAGGCTACAAAATTTCAATTATAGAAGATAAATAAATCCCAGATACCTGCTTCCAGCCAGCCTCCACTGGGAGCTTGGGTGGCTGGGGGCCATGGCAAACCTGCAAACAGCCATCAGCCCCTCACCCAGGCTGGCCAGGCACCCCAGGGGTGACCCCCACCCTAAAGGGGGTGTGGCCAGCCTGAACACGGCCCTCAGCCCCTCACCCAGGCTGGCCAGGCACCCCAGCAGGGACCCCCACCATGAAGGGAGTGTGGCCAGCTTGAAAACAGCCCTCAGCCCCTCACCCAGGCTGGCCACACCCCCTCAGTGGGGACCCTCACCCCATGGGGGCGTAGCCAGCCTGCAAACCACCACAGGCCCCACGCCCTAAGGGAACCCCCACCCTGATCCGGGATACCCTTCAGAGCAAACCAGCTTCCCCCCACCCGTGCACCAGGCCTCTATCTATACTAATGAAAGGGTCATATGCTAATTAGACTGGGAGACCTTCCTGGAGACCTTCCGGACGTTCTTCTGGACAAAGCCATGGTGGCGAGGCTGAGGTAGAAGTGGTTACAGGCCAAGAGGGAATGGCAGTTGTGAGTGACCAGGCTGGTGGGGGGCAGAGCCACTGGAGGTAAGCAGACCAGCAGGGGGGGGCCAGTTGGGGGCAAGCAGGCCATCAGTGGAGGTCAGTTGGAGGTGATCAGGACAGCACGGGGGGACAGTTTGGAGTGAGTAGGCCAGCAGGGGGGCAGTTGGGGGCAAGCAGGCCAGTGGGGAGGGAAGTTGGGGTGAACAGGACGGCAGGGGGGGCAGTTGGGAGTGATCAGGCTGGCAGGGGGGCATTTGGGGGCCAGCAGGCCTGTAGTAGGGGGCAGTTGGGGGCGAGCAGGCCAGCAGGCAGAGTGGTTAGGGGCAATCAGGCAGGCAGGCAAGTAGGTGAGCGGTTAGGAGCCAGCATTCCCGGATTGCGAGAGGGATGTCCGACTGCTGGTTTAGGCCCAATCCCTGTAAACCGGCAGTAGGACATCTTTCGCACGGTCCCAGATTGGAGAGGGTGCAGGCTGGGCTGAGGAACACCCCCTCGCCCGTGCACAAATTTCATGCACCAGGCCACTAGTGTGTTAAATAAAGATATTATAAAACCAACTCAGTTGTTTATGCTTGATCATTTGGTAAATTGGATTAAAGCCTAAAATGTTTTTCATCTTAGAAATCTTAGAACTATGATGGCTCTCAGGGGCTTTATTGGTCCCTGTCCCTTGACTTTTAGGCAAGTTTATTCTATCTATTTTTAGATGTGCTAATGAGGTTCACAGATACTTCATTAGATATGAAAAATATCCCCATCAAAACATCTCCACTGTGCTTTTTTCTACCCTTTTACCCTTCCTATGAAAAAAAGAGAATATTGTTTACTAATAATTGATTTGAGATTCTATGCTAACTTGCTTATTAAATTTCATATCTCTTTATTTTTATGTAAATGCTAATTCTAGATTTAGTATTTTGAATAAAAATAGTCATATGTGGCAAGGGTTATAAATGGAATTCCAGCTACTAGTATATCAATTCTAGGCTACATTAGGGATTAAGTGTTGTTGTAGAATGTAGCCTTTGAGGTTTTTTGTTTGTTTTTTAAAAATCAAAAGAAACCTCTTTCAAAGTTAAATAATAAGTAGGGTCCAATATATAAAACAGTATTCCAATATAGTAAAATGATATTTAATTAATATAAATGTATTTTATAACATTGAATTTACAGAATGTATTTTTGCATTATATATATATTGATTTCAGAGAAAAAGGGAGAGGGAGAAAAAGATAGAAACATTAATGATGATAGAGAATCATCAATGGCTGCCTCCTGCATGCCCCCTTTTGGGGATGGAGTCTGCAACCCAAGCATGTGCCCTGACTTGGAATGGAACTGTGACCTTCTGGTTCATAGGACAACACTCAACCATTGAGCCACACCAACCAAACTGCATTGTATTTTTTAAAGTCACTTATAAAGTTGTTTCAATAAACACAATTCAGCCCTGGCAGGTTTGGCTCAGTGGATAGAGCATGGGTCCATGGACTGAAGGGTCCCAGGTTTGATTCTGGTCTAAGGGCATGTGCCTTGGTTGCAGGCTCAATCCCTGGCCCCATTTGGGGTGCATGTGGGAGGCAACCAATTGATGTGTCTCTCTCACATTGATGTTTCTCTCCCTCTCCCTTCCACACCTTTGCACTTTCTCTAAAAAATCAATGAAAAAATATCCTTGGGAGAGGATTAACAAATATAAAAGAACATAAAAACTAAATAAACACAATTCAAAATTGAGATTATGTCAGCAAATTGAAGATGAGTCTGCAACTAATGTCTGCCATGGCTTTTGCTTATTCAGCTTGGAGGAAGTCCATATTCACACAGAAAAATAGTTGCAAATGGTACTTGTTCTTTTAAAACAACTTACCTTGCTCTAACAGGCTTGGCTCAACTTCAGCCTGCGGATCAAAGAGTCCTAGGTTTGATTCCAGTCAAGGGCACCTACCTTAACTGCAGGCTTCTCCCCAGCCTGGGCCGTGGTCAGGCTCATGTAGGAGGCAACCAATAGATGGGTTTCTCTCACATGGATGTTTCTCTCGGTCTTTCCTGCTCTCTTCCACTCTCCCTAAATATCAATGGAAAAATATCCTCAGGTAAGGATTAACAAAAAACAAATAAATAAATAAAACAATTTACCTTGCATTATCACAATTCCCAATAATTATATGGAATTGGCCAAAGACAGTTTATCCTGAGGACTACACAAAAAATAATTTAACTTGAAAGCAAAAGATAATAAGCTGGTTGGTTCCAATGTTAAAACTTGCTGTATAACACATTTAAAATGTGTTTATTCCTGATTAAAATATATTAAAAAATAAAATTGATAGCAAATTTCTGATTAAAATATATTTAAAAATAAAATTGATAGCAAATTTCTGTCATATTCCTGAAGTACCTAATCTTTTGTGGAAAGTACTTTGATATTACAAGGTCTAATAAACTTTTGAGAGCAGTATTTTTCAAAATAAAAATATTTATAAAACTCTTTTATTCTTTAATAAAGTTTTTATTATAGAATAGTTTTTAGAGTTCCATGTAAATTAGGAAGTTAATACACAGAGTTCCCATATAATCTACACCCAATTTCCTCTATCACAGTATTAAACCTCTTACATTAATATGGTACATATGAGACAATTAATGAACCCATATTGATACATTATTGTTAGCTAACGTTCATACTTAATTCATATTTCCTCATTTTTTTCCTAATGCCCTTTTTCTGTTTCAAGATCTCACAGAGGATGCTACACTATATTTAGTTGTTGTGTCTCCTTAGATTTCTCTTGCTTGTGGCAGTTTCTCAGATTTTTCTTGTTTTCAATGACCTTGACAATTTTGAGGAGACTGGTCAGGTATTTTGTAGAATTTGTCTCAATTGGTATTTGTCTGATTTTTCCTCATGATTAGATTGGGGTTATGGTTTTTGGAAGGAAGCCCACACAGGTAAAGTGCCATTCTCATCTCTTCTCTCATCATACAATCCACAAGGCTGATCACTGTGAAAGTTAACCTCGATCATCTGTCAGATTTCTCCACTATAAAGTGACTGTGTTCCCTCCTCCTTCCACACTGTCCTCTTTGGAAGAAAGTCACTATGCACAGCCCTCATTTGAAGAGTGGAATGCTATGTCCCACTACCTAAAGAGCAGAGCATCTGCATAAATTATTTAGAATTATTCTGTTCAAAATATTTCTCTTCTTCCCCATTTAGTTTATTCAACTGTTTGTTTATGTAAACATGGATTCAAGATATTTATTGATGTTATAATCCAATACTACTTTATTTTATGGTTCAAGATGCTTTAAAGTTGGCCATTGAGAGCTCTTTCAGTTGGTTCCTCCCTCTGTCTTTTGACATATATTTAATATTTTATTTTATTAATTATATTTGACACTTAATTTTCAGCATTTCCTTATTTTCCTGAAATATAAGATGGATCAAGCTCATTTTGTATATTTTCTGTCCCAGACATAGAATCAGCCATTTCTCCAAAGCTGCCCTGGTTCCTTTTACTGGAGAATGGTATTAGAAACCAAAATTTGGGTGTTAAGTGGATTTACTGCTCCAAGAATATCATTGTTTCTAGGCTGTCTCTACTGACAAACCAAGGAAATATATTTCTGTATTCTATGTTTATATACACATATCTATAAATATGTCAATATGTAACCAACTATATCTATATGAGCTAAATATGGATTCATACTGATTATGAAAAAATGGATTATTCTAGCCTGCTCCCCTTGCTGCTCTCTAACCTCCCATTACAACAGTGAGAAACCTGTTTTCTTTCATATAACATCCATTTGGCTAATTTTTCATATCTAGTATACCTGTATAGGAGTTTCAGAACTGTTAAGCTATATATTGATGGGAAGCAACTTTATCAACTCAAATATAGTGCTTATGCGCCTATG